TGCTAAAAAAACCGATTTGCATTAATTCATCCTTAATGATGTGTTTTGCAATAAAATCGGACAGATATACTTCAACTAAAAACATGTTTTATTTCAAATTTAAATTTAAATATTAAAATTTCTTTTTTGGTACATTAAAATCCTGAATGAATTATTTGCCATAAAATTGGATAAAATAATAAATGCATAGAATTCAAGTAAAAACATGTCTCATTTAAAATTTAAATTTAAAATTTCTTATCATTTTGTTACATTTCCGAATGATTTATTCCATAACATCCGATGGAATTAATAATTGCATAGAATTTCAAAGATGTTTATTTCTTATAAAAAAATTAAATTCTAAAAAAATATTTGTGTATATTTTATAAAATATTTGAACAAAATGTTTTACTTTAAATTTATTACATAATTTAAATTAATTACATTAATAAATAATATGAACATACATTAAATATTTTAATTACATAAAACAAAAAGAAGAAGAAGACTACATCTATAACTTGTATAAATAATAATAATGACATTGTATTACAATAAATTTTATAATAAAATAATATGAGTATTATACGAGGAACAAGATTACGTAAAATTATTTTTTTTTTTTTTGTATCAAGGAATAAATATATATAATGAAATAAAATTTATATTATTATAAACATGTGAGCGAGATAATATATTAATTAATTTACGGACTATAGCTACCAGAATCAGGTTTAATGTTCCAACAGATATAAAAAGATAGATGATCAAACTCTATTATTTTTTAGGCCTGAGCCGACAAGCCTATGGTCCACTCATTTAATATCTTCCGTGAGTCGCACGAGCTACTTAACGGACAAACTCTGTGGAAATGACTCATTTAATACTTCTGTCCCGTGCATCACACGGGCTACGTACTAGTGATATGTTATTTATACATAGGTGTCATAACTATTAGTCTTAGGTGTCCCATTTCTTAAATAATTAATCATGATAGATGTTGACCATAAAATGACTAAGCATTCAATTTGTACTAATCTATGAAGATGAGGCTCAGTAATGAGCTGGGCGAGCATATACTGAATGCCGAAAAGAAAAACTTCTTTAATCTTATCATGCCACAAGACTCATTAATTGACATAAAAATGTCTTACTCACTCACTAAGATGGCAAAATATTAAAACCATCAGTCATTATAAATTATTAATCACGAATTGACCCTCAAATTGGTCTTAATCAAGTACGTGGCTTTTGTGGCTATTGCACGAAAACAACTTGAACTGGAATAACATTAAAAAAACTCAACTTGCACTAAGGCTTCTATTGACACCTGATAAAATTTTATCATTAAACAACTTAGGCAGCTTTACTTCTCAAAATGGCCGAACAAATCTATACTTATATAAAAAGAATACTATTTACTAAATATAGCAAACAAAATAAATTTCAAAATTTCTAAATAAGGAAAAGATAGAAGTTTAAATAAAATATGATTGCTTTAACAAACTTATAGGGAAAACAGAAAAAAAAATAGAAAAAAACTTTAATTCAAATTCAATTGTTAACAATTTTCTAATAATTTTCATGCAAATCTTTAATTCAAATTCAAATGTTAACAATTTCCTAATAACTTTCCTACAAAATTGTCCGCATAAATAATGATAGATATGAAATTTAGCAGTATTCAAAAGTTAAAAAGTAATTCAAATTGTGGAGAATTTAAAATGGTAAGAGTTTGCATCATTCATTTTAGTAAAAAAAAAGAAAAACTTAAATGAATTTTATTAAAAAATTAATTTTATTTAATTAATTTGCACTAATTATACCGTCCATGCAAAGAAAAAAAAACACAATTATATTTATGCAATTAAAAAAAGTGTATGCTACAACATTGGATATTAATCCATATATCATAGGTACTCACTTAATAAATCTTCACCACATCATTTGTTGGAATAAAAAACTTAATAACGGAAAAAAGAAAAAAAAAATTGGGACTATGTTTACTTGAAAGACTATCAACACGTGTACAGATTTTTAAATTCATTTTAAAATTGAAACTTCGTACTCAAATTAAATTGAATAATATAATTTAATTAGCACTGTAGGAGTTTCTTAGAAAAAAACTATCAAGCAATTTGCATTGATTTTCAAAAACATATAAATATTGATTTCTAAAATTATGGGGATTGTTTACTTGATATAGATTATGACTATGTGTACAGATTTTAAAACCATCATGAAATTCAAATTAAAATAATATGATTTAATTAGAATTGTAGGAGTTTGTTAAGAAACAAAAACTCTCTGTGAGTTTGCATTGATTTTCAAAAACAAATAAATACGGATTTCTTTTATAAATAAATTATTTATTCGTATTTAATCATAAATCTCAAAGATGTGTACTTTGTTGATACGTGTTTGAATAAAAATCTTAATAACAACGAGATTTTAAAATCATTGCATAAAATTGATAAATGAAGTATATGCAACGTAGAATTGTTAAGTCTTCGTTTATTTTATACATTTGAATACAAATTTTGATAATGAGATTTTAAAATTATTATATAAAATTGATAAATGAAGCATATGCATACAGCATGGAGTTATTAAGCCTCCGTTTATTTTATACTCAAATTGATGACGAAATAATTTGCGGTATCATCTCAATATTTATTTTATATATAATATGTAAATCTTCTCTCAATTTTTTTTATGTTCTTTATATAAGATAATTTTATATTGTTACAATAGACTATATAAAGTAAATTTTATCACATGTAACCCCACATCTTTAATTTATAATTATAGTTAAAATTGCTTAAATATTTAGTTTATAATTATTATTAGTATTATTATTATTATTTTTGGTACAATGAAAGAGGCCATAACCCTATATTAGGACTCGACGGGGATACGACACTCCAATAATATCATGCTCTAACCAAACTCCCAGAACCGAAGGCGGGGAACCTACTCGCTGAAGGTTGGGATTATTAGTATTATTTACCCATGCATAGCACGGGCTACACACTAGTATAACTTATAATGCTGAAAATTTTCACTAAAATTCAGTCTAGATAAATTCTAATAAATCGAGAAATCAACAATACTAAAAACGGCTAAAAATTAACGACTCTCACTATACTTAAAAATAATATTCTAATATCTCAATTAAACTCTAGATTTAATTTAAATAGACAAAATGTCTTAACCGTACTCGAGACCTAACTTGTCTCGACTTATTATTTTTTTTCTTTCTCATTCAAACTAGAAATGGCCAAGTTTACATCCATTTAGCTAAATAAAATGGAATGTTACTTGAACTTGAACTTCATCTTAAATAATTTATTCCACTTCAATAGACATTAATGTTTAATTAATCCTTATAACTTGATCAATACTCAAAACTAAGCTAGGCTCGAGAATCATTGGCTCGGGTAATAGTCTCGACTCGTAACCGAACATGCTTGGTTCGGTTCACGACTTATCTTGAACGATTAATCAAAATATAATCGATTTTGATTATTCGTCATCTTATTCTAATTAATTCCATCTTATAAATCCATTTATAAAAATAAACAGACCGGAATTAATTAATTACTGAACTGGCTCGATTACTGAATAGAATTTAACCGAGAATAGTTTCGACTTAAAGTCGAATTTTGAACTGAATAACTTAATAACTAGGCTCGGAACTATGAACGAACATTATTAATAAAAGTAATTAGTTCAAACTCCAAACTAAAATAATTACTTTTATTAATTACTAAATGGGATATTACACCTGGCGTCCTTGTCAGCAAAACGTTTGGACGTGTATTATCACTTTCCCAGACACGTAAGCATGAAGCTTGTCGTCGAACAGATTTGGATTCGGATCGCAATTTTTTAAAAAAGTAGTGATATGCTTACAATTACCTTAAAGTTTGCTTTAAATTGCAAAAAGATTAAAGGTCAATATTTTATATGCAATTAAGTCAAATTATTTCCATATTCATTATGGTTGAGAAATGTGTGTGTGATATATAAAGTGTGTGAGAGAGAGAGATTTGAAAATATGGATTTAAAGTTTTTTTGTACCAAATTAATAGGAGAAATTCGTATGTTGTGGCAATCAATGATAGGTATGGAAGTCTTTTATTATTTCGTAGGAGAGAGAATCAAATAATTAGGAAAGCAATTAGTCAAGTACTAAAAATATCACCGATCAACTTATGTTTAATAAATATTTAATATATATATTTATTTAATATATATACTATGTTCCCCTCGAATCCCCTCCTTGCAATATTTTTGCTACTTTGCCGCGTAAGTGATGATTTGGCTCCTGTTTGCTGAGTCAGACTTCTCGGTGACGTAGCCATTAAAAAAATTGCCACGTCAACTTTCCGTTGACGAACGTTAAATCTGTGTATCAAGTTGTCAAAAATGTAAAGGTTGTGTATTTACCTGCCGGTTTGAAGGTCGTGATTAAATGGCCAATCAAGTAAAGGTCGTGTATTTTTCCGCTATTAGNAATTGTTCTTTTAATTTTTACTGCCAATGAACCTAGTTTGATGTATAAGATTTGATAAACTTGTATTTTTTGGGACAAGTTTTTTTTTCTCCTTTTTTTTGGTTGATTTGATAAACAGTACATCTTATTAATGTTAAGTACTAGGAGGGTAGTGCTGTGCAAGGCACAGCCGGCCCAAGTTGATGTCCCTAATCGTATATGAAGCATTGAAAATATTTAAAAGAAAGGATTGGGTGATAAAAAGTTGCAATACACAAAAGCATAGTTCTGAGCATAGCACATTAAGTATTTTTCTTTTACAGAATCCAAAAGCATCTATATGTAATAGATGCCTTTAATTCTGTCAAGGACTTGATTACAAAATATGGCAGGTTTTTTGAATCCTGCAAATTCCATATTTTGTACACAAAAGAAACATCCATTCTTCATGTTTTTATAGTTCAAAAGTCAACAGCTCGATGTGTCGAGTCAAAAGTCAAAAGCTGAAGGTGTCGAGGCGTCAATCCATTTTGGGTCGACTTTTCTTTGAAGGGCTGGCAGGTAGATCTTTATGTGTTTCAAGATTGGGCTGACTTGGTTTTGGAGAAGCTTGTTTTGATGGTGTAGCAGTTGTGATTGAGGAGGAGGCCGTTGGTTGGCTTTCAAAGTTGATGCGTTTTTTAGCAAGTGGTTCTGCATTTCCGATGCTTGGATCTTTTTCAATTTTCATGGCAACGGACTGGAGCACATTTTTGAGTGTTGGGGTGAAGAGCTGTCTCCACAACCTGTTTTATAAAATAGAAGTATTATGGTAGGTTATTGATTGAATAAGAATCTCAACTGCGAATTGTAATTGTAGTATATTGCACCTGAGTTGATGAGGAACTGGCTGTGTCTTTTTTGGAGAGTTGTTCTTCAAGCATATTTGTCTCGGTGTTCATGCGGTCAACCGTATAGAGCTTTAGAATTGTATGGTAAGCAGACTCGGTATATTTAATGAAACAGATAACGCTGTGCTTTTCCATCAACGCTTCAATTTCGCCTTTTAAGTCTTGGCCCTGCATAATCAATGTATAATGATTATAATCATTTTAAGTGATTGTAAAGTTTTTTAGCAGAATCTAATCTATTATATAAAGCTGAATCTTTTAGGTATACATAAAAGGAATGCAAATGTATAAACATAATATGTAGTGTGAAGAAGACATAATATTTATTTTGTTTTTATCATTTATATAAATGTAAGAATAAAAAAATATATATGTGCGGTTGTTTTGTTTTAACAATCAATTTGTACTTTTATTATTAATAAGAATGTATGACATATAACAGGAAGTGAAGATATTTAATAACTAATGTGTTATGTACATGACTATATCTTATATAGCACTTTTATCATTAAAATTCAGAAAGAAGAAAACTAACATTTTTTTCTGCTTCATACAAATCGTTCCCGCTGAACGGGATAATTCTCTCTGCATCAGTGCCATAGATCATTGCATAAATAGTTCCTGTTTCATCTTTAATGGCCATTGGAATCCGACACCTATTATTTTAAAGAACAAATCTTATCTATTAAACCACCATGTAAGATTATAGTGATTTATTGTAATAATAGTATTTTAGTATTATGAAAACTATGTACCTTGCTTCAATGTAAGTATCCGCCTAGCAGCTTCAACATTTCATTGCCCTGTTCGGTGGCATATTGTAATTTTTGCGGCAGTTGCCGCATGTGGCTGCCCACAAAGATTTGGTGTCGCTTGCAAGCTTGATTTTTCCGCTGACCCAACAAGTCTTCGTCTGAAGTAGATATTTGGAACATATAGACTTAAGCTTTTCAAATGTATCTTTAGTATCTAATAATTCAAGCATTTAATAATTCAAGTTGTTGGACAAGCATTTATATTTCATATAGAACACTGAATAATTAGCAAGCCTAAATGATTGGATGGAACACGTTTTTTTTTTCACTGAGTTTAGTGGAAAGTACAAAATTGAAAAAAAAAATATATCATCAACTGAAATTTTTGATTGTATTACTGGATTTAAAATGCATATACAATTCACAGAGCATCTGAGAGAATAAACAGTACGATAAATCTGTAATTTTTTATTCACATTTTAATAGTGTGCTCTTTGCAAAGATATTAACTTTACATATGTAAATGGACACAGAAGCAAATTTGTTTACCTTATTGTGAAGAATTAGAATGGCACTAATAAGTGTTGCTTTTAAAAATTTAGCCATATATCAGAAAACAGTAATTACGACCGAAAAAATACGACTGACATAATCGAAATCCACGTTTTAGTTGTTTCATATAAATAAAAACATAGAATTTTTTTTTTCACTGTGTTATATCAAGCCTCAGTGTAAATGTCATAACATGTATGGTTTACTAAATTTACTATTTATAACGTTAAGATTTAAGATCTTACATATTTCAGGGATGTCACCGCCTTCTGCACAGTAGTTATTTCATTGATTTCAGGCCATGGGTATAACTTGTTTGTATCTTTATATGCTTCTTCATCAATGAGTTTTGCAACACTCTTTTTGTTCTGAATGTACCTGTAAGGAGTTTTGTTTATATAAATAGATATAGATGTAAATTTATAGTTTTATATGAGAATTAAGGTAAGAACATACCACTGCTTGAGGTCGGCTGCGGCAGGTATAGGTGGATTCACCATTAAGCAAGTCCCAACTTTAGTCGACAACGACAATCCTTAATGTAGAAAAAGTTGTTTTAAGTAAGTGCTATATTTAAGTAAATTGTTTTTTTAACACTATTAATTTAAATTATACCATGGAATGTGGTGACTCGGCTTCTCATAGCGAGGACAATGTTAGCTGCTGCAATGTTATTAGTCAGTGTTGGACCGTCATCTTTTTCAAACTGATTCCATAGTGTAAGAATCATTGGTTTCATTCTGCAGAATAGTAAAATCATGAGTTAAAGAATGATATGCATGCATATATTTTGTTTGCGCTTGATTTAATTCAATCTATTTGTTACTCTTCGTTGATAACGATCAGTTCACGTGTTGTGTTAGCACCAACAGTCCTTTTTGGAAAAGCATGAACAACAACTGCAAGCAAGCCTGTCGATATTTTGGAAATTATGAATTGTCAGTTTAACTTAGTCAGAAATGTTTTTTTTTTAATATTCTTAATTGAAATTACACAAAATACTTACTTCTGGGATTCTCTGTATCTGCATAGTTGTGTAAAATTGCAAATGGATGAATTTCAATTGAGCACGGAAGTTGTGGAGGCAGGGGTTCTTCATAGTCTTCAACATTGGTACCTTTAACCAGAATACATTTGTACTTGTAATCACCAACCTGATACAGTGGTATTTCTGGCCGTACTTTTGCTCCTGAAACATAGTACCTTTTGTATGGCATCAACAACGGTGGCGCAAATTCGTCAATGACAGTGTTGTAAACAACTGTAGCTACTTTTGTGCCCTGTTATGCAGTAGTAATAGTTTAGTAGTATTTAAGTAAATCATTATTATGTTAAATTCACAAAAGAAATATGTTGAGTAATTGTTTACCTCTTCATCTGTGAATAAGTATCTGCGATAATGCATTGTCGAATCATTTTTGCTTTGGTGAACGGGTGGCCTTTCAACAACTTGGATAAGCGCAGTCCAAGTGTTGGTGGCTTCTGTAATCTCTTTAATCGGTAGATATATCCTCGACATTGTCACCTGTAGAAATTTGCAACAGAAGGCAGAGGCAGTTAGCAACAGCAGTCGGTATTTACTATATTTTTTTTTTTGCAGAAATGATATAATGTTTTTCAAATGAAATTTAAATGTATCTAATTACATTGTATTACTGAAGCTGCCTCAAGAACTTCATTGTATACCACGTTTTTTGTGATATCAAATTCATGTGGGTTGAAAAAAGGTGGTTTTATTACAAACTTAATTGCCGATGATTGTCTTGCACGAGACAACGCTACATATAGTTGTCCATGTGAAAAAACTGGTTCCCTTAAATAAATACCAACTGATTCTAGCGTTTGACCTTGAGCTTTATTAATAGTCATAGCAAAACATAGTCTAATAGGAAATTGTGTTCTTGTGTAAGCTACAGGCACTTGGTCATCATTGGAAGGTTTTAATGGAGTTCTATGAATAAAAACATTTTTTCCTTTAAAGTCTCCAACAGCTATTTGTGCATGGATAATGTTACGACTTAATTTTTTACATATGAGTCGTGTTCCATTACATAAGCCTACTGTAGGATCTAAATTTTTAAGTAGCACAACAGGGGCATTAACTTTTAACTGTAATTTATGAGGGGGCATTCCACCAGGGGTCAAAGAATTTATTATATCTTCATAAAGACCTTTATGGATAGGATTAACTACTTCATCAAAACTGAGATATTCAACCATTTCACCTGGAAAAGCATCTATTAATTTATTATTTATGTCGTCGACGAAACAATTTTTAGTAGATAAGATTGCTCTGTTCATTTGGAAATTGGAAGTTGTGTTATTCTGTTCATCAATATTGTTAGGAGTTTGTACAGAATGAGTTTGCAAATTAGGATATATGCTAGCAATTAGTTGGTCAAGAGCATCTTCTGTATTAGCATTAGTCAATATAAGCGAGGGAGGTAAACGAACTGAATTTTGATTACATGTGGGTTCTACGCCATTCCCTATTCGCAACAAAAATTTAGTAAATAAGGGGTCAAATTTGGCTCTCATATTTTCTGTTAGTCTAATTTTTTCAAGTAATGGCCAGATATAGGAATTTGTAATGCAAGCATTTATGGTATCATGTTTATTTCCCCTGCGAACCACAGGTAAAATTTGTCTAAAATTGTAACGCCCCACTTTTATTTGCCGAAAATCAGCATAAATTTTTTTTCAAATTTATTTCAAAACTCTTATTTGAGGTGCTACCCATTTTCGAACATCAATATTTACCCAAATTCTCAATAGTCAATCAATTATCAAACTCAATCATCACTCAATAATACTAACTCCCAAACAGGTTTTTCCAAAAATCCATAAATCACCCAAACCGGGTTCCATCATTATTCAAGTCATAAAATCCAGAATTCATAAATACGGAAGCATCACAAATAATAAACCGGTCTTATAGACCGACCACCACTCGCTCTACTCCGCCGTCGTGCCTGCCTCGCTTAACCTGAAACGTGAATTTCAGGTGGGGATGAGCACATAAGGAAAAAGTAGTGCTCAGCACTATGCAGTAAACATTAATCAAACAAATCAACAGTATGATCTCAGCATGAATAAGAATCAATTAAGTATCCCAAGTTTCAACATAAATTCGCAGTGTTCAGACTCATGTGCACATCTATACCAATAGACTACTGCCGGTAGACGCTTCGAATGCCCCACGGGCTTCTATCGAATGCCCCACGGGCTTCTATCGAACGCCCCATGGGCTTTACGTCTCTGCCCTCCGATCTTACACATCGAATGCCCCATGGGCTTCTATCGATGCCCAGTCAGTAGGAGTAACCCCTCGGGTATTCATTTCATAAATACGGGACAACCGTTCGATGGCCGGTACAACTCACATCGAAGGCTACAGGATTCGTAAGCCCACATTGATCATACTCAAGTAAAGTAAACCATTTATTGCATAGGCAATTTTTAAATAAAATCCACCTGGATATAGCAAGAGGTATAGCCAAACACAGAGTCGAAGGAATTATGGCACAAGTTCAGCTCGAAGAACCTACAATCATTTATAATAGCCTTATCACTGACTATCCAATATAAAATACCACACAAAGCACATATACTTAGTCGAAATCATATCGACTAAGCGACTCATGGATTCCTTGACCGAATTAAGTACTATGGAGTGACTACTAGACCTAGACACAACTCATATACCTCAAAATTTTCACATAAACCATGCCGACATTGAATAAATCCTATCTGAACCTAACCAACCGATAACCGAACATTTAAACTCCAAAATAAACAAAATTCGGAATCAGGAGTTAGGCTCAGCCATTCAATCTAAAACTTTACCGCATTAATAAACATGCAAAAGCACATAAACTCACCAAGTTTCAGCCCTAAATTCATCCGGTAACATTTTTAAATGATTTAAGCAAAAACAACACCAAAATCAGCATTTAATAGTTCACAAAGCTAAACTTCGAATTTTAATCTAAACTTTTTACACAACCTAAAACATCAAATAAATATCAGTTTCCTGAAAGTTTCAGCTCAAAACTCCAAGTGTCGATCATTAATAAATTTTACAGGTTACTGCTCAGAAACCGGTTTAAGCATTTGAACTCGAAATACTCAAAAATAAATTCAGGGGCTTGGCACACATATTCCAAATACTCAGAGGCACAATGTAACGCCCCACTTTTATTTGTCGAAAATCAGAATAAATTTTTCAAATTTATTTTAAAACACATGAGGCGCTACTCATTTTTAAAACAAACTTCCATACTTAACCAATTTCTCAATACTCAATCAATCATCAATCATCAACAATATCACTAACTCCCAAAACGAGTTTTCCAAAAATTCATAAATCATCACCCAAACCGGGTTCCAATAATATTCGTAAATTCTAGGAGCATTTCCTTAACATTATTCAGTCATAAAATCCGAAAATCTTAAATGCAATAATACTCCAAGTTCATAATCTTAAAAACCAGTTCATAAATGCGGAAGCATAACAAATAATAAGGTCACTCTTATAGACCGACCACCACTCGCTCTACTCCGCCGTCGTACCTGCCTCGCTTAACCTGAAACGTGAATTTCAGGTGGGGATGAGCACAGTTGGAAAAAGTAGTGCTCACCACTATGTAGTAAACATTATTCACAATAATGAAACAGTAATCAAAAATCAATAAGGTATGGTCTGAGCATGTATACGAATCAATTAATTATCCAAATCTTCTATCAATCATATCAATAATAGACTCATGTGCACATCTATACCAATAGACTACTGCCAGTAGATGTATCGAAGGCCCTCGCTCGGGTCATGCTTCGAATGCCCCATGGGCTCTACATCTATGCCCTCCGGTCCTACACACCGAATCGCCCCACGGGCTTCCATCGATGCCCGGTCAGTAGGAGTAACCCGCCGGCCAAGGCCTCACCTTGGTCTTACCAACGGGGTTGTCCAGCACAGGGACCTTTAACCCAGGACTTACGACTCAAAATGTGTCCAGCACAGGGACCTTTAACCTAGGACTTACGGCTCACAATAATAACGAAACTACCCAACAGGTACGTTCTATAGCTACTGGGATAACCGTTCGACGGCCGGTACAGCTCACATCGAAGGCTACATGTTCCACATGCATACTTGATCATACCAAAAATTTAAAACAGTAATAACATTTACAGCATAGATAATTTTTACATTAAACCCACCTGGAATCCGTAGTAGCAAAAGTACACAAGCTGAAGAACATAGGTCGAGGGCTCGACTCCTCAAACCTAGAGATAAGGATTTAATTATTATTAAGGGTTTCGATTGGATTGATTAGGCCACAAAAACAAGTAAAGCACACTTCAACACTAAACCGCATCAAAAGGCTCAACACTGAACATAATCAATCAAAGCTCAAAACAATAAGTTGAACTTTAATACACATAAAATACAACATGTAAGCATTCAATTAAAGCATACAAAACACATGACATAGCCTTCCATTCTCTTTACTCAAGTTCAAAAATCACCCTTTTCTAACCACCAATTAAACACACAAATCGAAATTTATTCACGATTTCAACATGCTAACCATACAAAAGAAAAAGGGTCCAGTAACAGTAGGTAAACTCAAGGCAAAAACTAGCACAATAAACAATTCAAACTAGTATAATTTTTTACAACTTGAGAACAAACAAGGTTCCAAGTCCACGTTTACAACTTGAGAACAAACTAAAATGATTAACAACTCAAAATTAAACACAGTTGATGTAAAGAAAACTAAAATGATTGTTCAATTTTATTTTATTTGTTATAATCACAAGAGTACAGAAGTCGGTTTTTTACTGAAAACCGAGATCGTCTTTAGTTCATGTACAATGTGTTCGAAAAAGATCCTCGTACTATCATAAATTCGGCTATTTATAGTACGGTGGCTTTTGTCTTCTTCCTTGAAATGGATAAAGATGCATTTAATGTTGAGCTGCTTCACTTGAAGCGGCGGGAAACATCAATGATTACCTTTTTGTTTTGTTGGTCCAATCAGATGTTTTCAATGATTACTTTCTGTTGGAATATTCAGACTTTGTGATAGTCGGTTGAACTGAAGTCGGTTTATTTATGTTGGCTTCAGATATCGGTTTTTTCGAAGACCTTCCGGAGTCGGTAACTATGTAGAAGTCGGTAATTAGTTTTAATTAATACCGACTTACAGTAAGTTCACCTTCTCAAGAGATTATTTCTTCAATAGTGTGATTAATCTCCATCTTCAATTTTGCAGTCAAGTCGGATATCAACAGTGAGGCCCCCGACATTAGTAGGTATTTAGAACTTTTCGAATAGCTGCTAATGTCGCTTGTGGTTCTGCTTTATTCCGACTTTCTTTGCTTTGTTTACCGACATGAATACACTTAGCTTTTGTTGACATTTCTTGTATAGCACTTGGCCTGACATGGCGGCTCTTAAAAGGTGTGTCCGCATTTAATGGGTCCAACGGATACAAATGTGTAACGACATGGCGTTTCTGAACGTG